TCGTAAATGAAATTCCACTCAAAGTGTAGCACTCGTTTTCAAATTCATCAAATCTGCAAAGCGCACGTGATTGCAGGCACTTGTTGGGATATATGGCCATTAATCTTTATTAAATTGATCAAAATTTATACCACGGCTCTTGGATTTTAAATGGTTTGTACGTTTTTTTCTCTCTTCTGCCGCTTCTTTTTTCGAATGAAAGAAACGCTTACTCAAGACACACATACACACCGCATACAAAGTAAACACAGTTTTGCATGTGTACATTCGATCGTTAAGCGACGAGAAGAAATTTGTTTGTCCGCTCGCTGTTTGCATATGTGAAACAGAAACAGGTTTCGGTCACTGTGTGTTTTTTTTTTAGCATATACACGTATTTCTTAATCGATGAATTCGCATAGTGTTCACACAATTCACATATTTGTGCGCGCGCTGCACACGAAACGAAATAGCGAGAGCAACAAACGTAGAGCAAAACAAAATCAACAAAGATTGAAAAATAGTGAGCGAGAGCAGTCGAGAGCGATAGACAGGCATGTGGTTATTTCGGTTTTAGCTGTGTATGGTGGTTTTTATTTTACGAGCCAGACCGTGCGCGATGCGATGATCGTGCATTTTTTATGCGCTTTTTACTTACTTTTCTGTAGTTGCAAGAAGAATGTCAATAATTTCATTTATTAGCATGCCATAGAACATTTTCTCTCTGTTTCTGTATGTGTGCGCGGACTTCTTTTGCAAATGATTCAACGTGCCGTGGTACGGCGGTGAATTCTGTTGATTTGGAAGAATTATACGATTCACATTTCCTTTTCCGGGCATGTTTCAGCAATTTCGACTCATTAGTTTGGCGAATGGTTTTTTTGTTGTTGTTACATTTCAACTTTTTGTATTTCTCGTTTATTTTTTGCTTCGAAATTTAGATCAAAGGCTTCTGTCGAATCGTAAAATCAAACAACAAAAATTTCGTAACCACAAAACTATTTTGCCCATTCAATGGATGAATATTCAAATCGACGGTTGTGCAGAGCTGACATAGGCACCTACGAGGTGTCGGCACTTACTACCTTGGGTGCGCACCTAGTACTATTCGAAAAATAAATTTTGAGTATTTTTGAGATTGATGTAATTTTTTAAAAATAAATCTATGATATTTAGATGATAAAAAAAATCAAATTTCAAAACATCCAAAAATATTGTGAAAAAAAGTATTTTGAAATTGTACTGGGTGCGCACCCAAGTAAGTTGTGAGAGCGACTAAAAAATGTAGTGATTTGCATTCATTGCAACCATAGCTATGTATTCAATTTTGCAAAACATTCAACAACAACCATTTCAATTTACTTTTCATTTTAAATTTCAAATGAGTTAGATGGGATTGAAACGGTTTTATTTTCACACAGCAAACGTTAGCAAAACATGAAACTTTGACTCGTATGTCATTGGGTGGCATTTAATTTGTACCGAGTTTTATTGATGTTAAAATAAAGTAATATTCATAAATCTCTGAAGTCCGTATTTCGCAATGTCGCATAGATTCACTTGTTCTTAACACATTGTAAACTACACACACTGCTGATTTGGCTAAAAATCCATTGGAACTTAAGGAGAAAAATAGCTGGTTTTGTGCTGTGCTGTGACCCAATGACGCAATATCCCCCATTGAGATGAAGTCGAAACAACTTTGGCTTCGATTCGATTGGATTGCTGTTGTTGTGTGTGTGCATCGTAAAAAGTCGTGGCACAATATCAACATTGAATTTAATTTGAAGCAGAGAAATCCAGAGCACACTTTCATCATTCATGATTAAAAATGTTATCAGTATGGTTTTTTTTCCTTCGAAAGTGAGCGTGGCATCATCTTTGTGTGAAAATTAGCAAGCTTAAGATAGAACAATAAAACGGTGGATATATATAGAGAGAGAAATGTTTTATGGCCGGTTCTTAAACGGGAGCAAGGAGCGGGCGTGTGGAGAGAGAGAAAGAGCGTGAGAAGGAGGAGGGAGGTGGGAGGTTGGCAGAAGTGCAATGCAAACAGAGCTCTCTCTGTATGCCATGTGCTACTTGGAATTATAGGTCAGAGATGGAGCAGAGAGTACTTCCGACGATAATAATTATTCAATGTTTGCCGTTTGCCATCCACTTGGAAAATTTAATTTAATGTCAACTTCGCATCGTAAGTACACGGTACCATTTTCGGCATTTTACCACCAAATATATATGGAACAAGACATGCAACGAAGAAGTGAAGTTGAGGACTTTTCTGATTCTTGTTGATACAAAATGAATTATGAATGCATATCAAATGAGCATCTATGAACGGAACGACGACGACTACGACGACGAAGCGATGGTACAAATGTCATAAAACTTATCATTCATTTAGGTAATTATCAACCTACGCTGTTTGCGCTTGCTCGCCCATCCGTTCACCCGCGCGTACGCTTTCGCGATACCCAAGCATATGAAATAATTAAAATTACAATGAATTATGAGTTCAAAATTAGCTGAAGATGGAAAGCTAAAATAGATTTCCATAATTTGATCCGAATCGCATACGACCAACAAGTCAACCAAACGAACGTTTCAACAAAAACCAATTATACAAATCTTGTGCTTCGGTTTTTATTGCTCTCTATTTTCTCCTCCTGCTTCGAACAAAGTTACAATTGAAGAAGATACAAGTTGTAGTGTTTATTTTAGCCATTTAATTTAAAAGAGAACTTTCGTGACGTTTTCCCATGTTACAAATGTTGTTGCGGTCCTTTTTTCCGTTTGCTCTCTCTTTCTCTCTCTCTCTCTCTCTCTCTCTCTCTTCCTCTCTCCCACTCTCTCTCTCTCGCTCTCTCTCCCTCTCTCTCTCTCTCTCTCGATTTCTGTGTGTGCCGGCCAGCACCATGATTATGTGTGAAATGGATAAAACCGGCTACAGAACGATATCCTATTAACACGTCGAAAACAACATAAAGCAATTATGTGTTGCTCCCTGTCTGCGTGTAGTGGACATGCTACTGGTCGATTCAAACTCGAATTAATCGCTCTCACTGAGATAAACTGCCAAGCTTCGGACTATTTTCGGATTAAAAACTTGTGCTTAATGATGAAAAATCAAATATTTACAAATGCTTCCACTCCACACATACACACACACACACATTGACGACTGAATGCTTAGATTACAGCACGTTTGCATTGTGAACAAGGTTTTGTTAACGATACGATGCTAACTAAATGTGCTAGCCACATTTTGTGTTGTGCGGTTCCGCTTTTTGTAAATGCGAAAAATACCATTTTTACATTAAACTAAATGGTTAACAAGTTTACAATGCAGCATGATAGAGAGTGAGGCCACAAAATACGAAGGCGATGGATACATGGAGCGTCCATTACGAAGCATTCATGTTGCGAATAAGAAAAAACACACCAGCATGAAATAGAGAGCGTTCGCATAATGTACGATAATATGAAACACATTTTTTTTTCGTAGTTCGCCTAAACTTAGAAAAAAGAACTAATATATTCGTTATCGATGTGAATGTTCTTCATATCGCAACAGTGCACAAAAAATGTATGGGATGATAGAGGGAACGATCTTGGTCCATAAAACGTCGACGTTGTAAATAAGCCGTATCGAGATAGAGGTTGCATGGAAAAGATGATTCGGATTACGTGCGTTTTTGCTTCCATGCAATGCATACGCTCGCGTGTCAAGAGTGAGCGAAAGACATTGAGATAGACAGAGGGACAATGAGTGAGTGAATGAGATGGCTGTCTGAATGTAACGATATTGTGCACGGTGACAGGAGCATAATCCCATTTATTGAAAGCGTGTGGAATGTGCGTACAGTCGAAGGGATACGCAAAATCACATCTATTTTACGATTCATGATGCACTCGGTAAATGTCGGTATGATGATGATGATATTGAAGAGCGGCAAACGAGAAAGTAATCCGAGGCAGATAGAAATAACACGCGCCTATTCACTTCGATTTGAATGTAAAATAGACGGTGTGCATGAGCCATTAGAGTCTCCGTATTTTACAACAGCCATCGCATTAGGGACTCAATTTTTAAAGTAGAATACCGACCTGCCGACCCAATATTGTAATACTGGCGACGATGACGGCATCATCGATGACGACCAGCCTGATAATATCGTTGTTTTGACTTCGTGCCCATTCCATAGTTCGACCGCATTATGTAAATTACAAACCACAGGCATTTTATATCATCGGGATAAAACCATTGCCGATTCTGTCTCCCCCAACCGAAGTAGACTTCAACCAGAAAATGTTGACATATTTCATTCATTTTACAGATAAGATTTAATATTCCCAACAATAACACTTTTTGTGCGTTTTTTTTTTCTTTATTCAAACTTCAATGTCTTCGATACAACTTCAGAAAATGCGTGAGTTTGCATTTGGACTTCAGAATTCCCTTTCTCTATCGCTATCTGTATCCTTTTCTCTTCCTCTCTCTCTCTCTCTCTCTTTTCTTTCTTTCTCTTTTTCTCTCTTTCTCTCCCGAAAATAAATAGTTTTATCATCAATTCAAATATGATTCACTTCAGATTACATGCACAGTGCACGTACATGTCACGGGCCTCATTCGAAATAATGGTTTATATTTAATATCTGAATTTTTAATTCGCAATGAAATATGTATTTGTCATCACATTTTTGTACCTTGTCTATTTTGGCAAATTTATAAATAATGCAAAGGGACACGTATGCACAACGCATAGTTGTCGTTTGTTTACTTGGAATTCGAACACGAAATACTTTCGGTTAGTCGTTCTAGGGATAGAAAATAAGCTCTTGTTGTTAACCAATTTGAAAATTCAAACAGATGCTGCATTAAAATTGTATTTATTCTTTTGCAATGGGAATACTCGTTGTCAATGTTGATTTTTTATAAATTTTTTACAACCGAAATGAATATAGATGACGAATGACGCACGAAAACTGAATAATTTCAAGGATAGATATAGAATTTGTCGTCAGAATCGGCAAAACAACCCAGAACGTGGCACATGGAATGCGAACGAAATTCAAAATGATCGAAAAAACGAACGAATTTCGTTACAAAAATCGTGTATAAATGATTGACTAAGGTGGAAAAAAATCCATTGTTTTATTTCTTTTTGAGCTAGAAAAGTGTTCCAATCGGGATTGAGTTGAACGTCAAAAGAAGTGAAATGAAATTGATCGTAGTTTTATTGTGTGCCGTTACATCAAACGTAATTTTTGTTCCCATTCTCTTTGCAATTCTTTCAATTTCAATTTTTCATTTCCAATTTCTTACTTTTCCCTATCTTTTTTCGAAGACTTAAAGTAATTAGAGTTTTTGTTGAATTTTTTTTTTCTCAGTTGTTCGGTTTGTATTCGGCACAAACGGATACAATTAATCCGAAACTATTAGAGAATCTACGGGAAAAACTGGATGAAATGTACCGAATACAATGTTCATGTGCAGCTTTCTCGGACTGGTTCGGCGATGGAGCTGACATTCTCAGGGGTATGGTATATATTCGAAGTCCTTCTCCAGCTAAAAAGTCGTCCGGGACGTCGTCTGCAGAAGCATCGGCTATGTTGTCTGTACTTGTGAGCACGGTCGTTGAGAAAATCGACGAAATTGGGGCGAAAAATATGAAACTCGCAGAGAATGCGTATCTTGACTACATGACTAAAAATTCCAACAAAATGGCTTGCATTAACAAAGAACTTTTAATTAGTAAGCTTCAACACCAAAATTCAAACATTGTAAAAACAGTAGACAGTATCGTTGATCGAATGTATAAGCAGACAAATGAATTGTATAAATCCGTTCGAGGCATTGAAATGAATTACATCGATGCATTATTTATGGATAAAAAAATGAGAGACAAAATCAAAGCAGCTCTCAGTGATCTAGCGAAGTTTGCAATGCAAACATCAACGCCAAAGCCCGATGCGATTAAAAAGAAAGAAACAGAAGTCAACACTACCATTATCAAACCTTTGCAAACTGTCCTCGACGGAGACCGCAAAGCGCTCAGCAAACTTTTTAAGGAAGTCGGGGAACTGTATGATGTCTATAATACTAAACAAAGGGAAAGTAGAGATGAAATTTTCGGTCTTTTTAAAGCCAAAAATTAAGATATTGTACCACTATTTCTATTAGTGAGACGTAAAAGAATGCAAGTTTTTCCAACTTTGTAGCAATAAAGAGAAGTATGTTTCATTGCAACTAATAATGGTTAAAAGAATGTATGTTCGTTTTTGGCGGGTCCTCGCGGTTTTTCACGGTTTTCGCGGAACTGATAGGAGATAACAACTTAGTGTCTTCGACAGTTATCTCTTATCTCTTATCAGTTCCGCGAAAAGCGCAAAAAATTATAAGAAAAAAAAGTTCTATATAAAATTAGCTTTTTCATGTGCGCAATTTTCGCGCAACTGATAAGAGATAAGAGTTACTTGTCTTCAGCAATGTTATAGAATACCTTGAGTACTACAACTTTGCCGAAGACATCCAGTTGTTATCTCTTATCAGTGCGCGAAAACCGTGAAGACCGTGGAGGCTAGACGGTACTACAACAATACTTTCTTTTAACGCAGATAGAATCAATAGTAAACATACTTTCCTTTTCAAAAATATAAATCGAGAAAAAAACATACATTCTTTCACGTCTCACAAATAGATTTGTGGTTTAATCAGTTCGATTTGAAAGTTTTCTGAAGATCTAGTGCATCGAACATATAGTTTTAGCAATGCTGTCAAATACAGAAGACTTTTTAATTGAATAAAACCCTTTTTTGAAATGCACAATAACCAAAGAATTCCTCTTTCACTGTCTATTGTAAGAAAATGCTTTGCTAGTCTTTGTGAAATTCTAGCAATATCACCAAAGCATGGTATGTCTTCTTGAAAGTATGCATATTTCTACTCGAATTTGATGTGAAAATAGGGAGGAGGTAGGTAGTCAGTTTGCACTCTTATCAAATACATATCTTTAAAAGCGGAAAAATTATTGGGTCGAATCTTGAAACCAGATCAATGTAAATTACACAATGGACGATTTCAATCGGTCGAAAAAAATGTTCCCTGTCATTCAATTTCAATCCCATTTGTTGAAGCGATGCGCATACACAATGAATACACAAATCAAATCGGTACATTGATGTAGTCAAGCATCTTGTATGTGTATGTACCGAGCACAGTTCCATTCATTTCGAATGTAAAGTAGACACAGTAAAGTTCGTTGAGTGAACGAAGCTATTGTGACCGTATTTTATAGTACCATCGACTATTATGGACTCGATTTCAGGCAACCGAGAGGAAAAAAAACGCCTGTGACCCAAAAATTGCACTGATGTTTGCGATTGCCGAATGACGGCTAGCCTGATAATGGTCGGACCACATAGCCATGCCATTGTTTTTTGGTCATCGTGCTCGGTTCCATTCATTCGACCGTATTTATGTAAATAATTGTATATGTACTTAATGCCATCGGGATAAAGTGTACACTGTACACACACACACACACACTTCATCTGTCTTCACGAATTTTAAATTAGCTCACGATGCGCCATCACAAATGGACATGATAGCGAACGGTATAGTGCAAAAATCAGCATAAAATCAATGATGCACAGCCCGTTCGTCCCCATCGGAAAATCCCGCAAATCGATTTGGATTTCTCAATGAATTTTCATCTTCCGGATTAATTAAGTTCAGTCAATAAATGCTTTTGATTAAGTACCATCCACATGCACAATGGTATTGTTGAATCCATATTTCAATAACTTGGAAAAACTGATTCGTAAAACCGCATAATATAGAGTGCATGTGTGGATTTTGGGCCTCCACTTGATCGCTTGTACGCTGTCAAAATGGCATTTATGAACAATGGAGTTAGTTCCGAGCATTATGATTGCTTCGGATGGAAATGGTAAAATTATCATATGTGGACACACAGTTTTGCCGGAGTCTTAATCAAATTATCGCTTATTGAAATTTCATTAAAAGATAAAATACGGAATTTTAGTGAAATTCAATGGGAAAAAGTTTAAATTTCAGTCAATACGCATTGTGTATTCAAGTCGTTAGCGTTTGAATACTATTTATCATCATTTGAAGACAAATCGATATTTCATGCGAATTTGCTGAATGAAGGAATGGCCTCTAATGATTTTCAATATGGTTTAAATCGATGCGAGATTGATTGAGACAGAGTTTTATGCGAATATATGGAAATCATACTTCGTAATGTATGCAAATTGACATTTAGTTTGTTAAATATGTGCGATATGAGTTGAAATTGCAAATGATTTGCAATTTACTCATATCAAAAGTTACATCGAAAATGGTATCGCTAACTACGCGAAATGGATTTTCACACTTCCGAAACATTTTCTCTGGCAAAAAGCGATGGTTTCGCCAATTTGTACACACACATTTAAAATGCGCATTGTTCACCGAAATGATATACCGAAAATACAGAATCGAAAAAAAACTGATTCCAAATGTACAAAAGTTTTATACGTAAATGATTAATGGTAACATGAATGCGAATCACCGCGTGAAACTTCCCGAAAAAAAGCCGGAGGAAAAAACACGCGAAAGACAAAATAAAACTGATTTCAAGTTGGCGTTTGAATCTCTGGTATCAGACACTGGTAAAACGAGAGAAAAAATCGCATGTTACACTGTCATCATTTCGGATGATTGTGTGTTCATGATAGCGGCAACAGCGGCGGCGGCAGCGCAGACACAACGGCTTGAATATCAACAAAACACAAAATAAATCTTAATTAACCACAAGAAATACGATGAACGAACGAGCAACAGCCAAAGAGTTAGTTATGTTGTATTGTATGCATGCTGATTTCTTTTTTCGAGTAAATTACAACGTGTTGCGGTTTTTATATTTGTTCGTCGGTGGTGTAATATCAAATGGAAGATAGGAGTTGGCCGATGGACTCGTTGCTATTGGTGAAAAATGCTCTTGATTTATTTGGTGCCCAGCGCCAATGAAGTCGACTGATTATTATCATTAATAGATTCGCCCATGGAATGGGATTACATACACACGATTCCACTCGTCGGCTCTAATGAACATGAAACCAACTTTGGCTAGCTCGCTCTCTCTCCCTCTTTCTTTCTCATTCCGCTAAAATTATCTATCTTTGAAGCCTTTTCTGCTTTCTTCTCCATTTCGAAATCATTGGGTACATATATTAAAGACAAAAATGAATACATAGAAGTGCAAGCGTAATGAACTGGCTAACGTTCAACGTTCTTCGTCAGTCTGAATGCGAGCACATTTCAGCCAGAGCATCGTGTGTCTTATTTCTCGCTCTCGCTCTATCGACGCACAAAAACAATCATAATTGTGTTAAAAATAAACTTTCTTCCATAAGTGAAGTGAAATGTAAATGACACTTTGATTCACTTCATCTCTCGTCCGTCTTTTTTTCTCTCTGATCCTTCTTCTCTTAGCTCTCTCCCTCTTTCTCGCACCCGCTCTCTCCCCCTCTCGTTCATTTCGTCCCAAAAATAACTCAAACACAAACGAACACCATACCGTGTTCGATGGTAAGCCGTAATAACAACAGAAAAAACAAACTGCTTCTCTGTTTCTCTGTCCTGTCTCAAACAGGAAAATGTTTGTATTTCAGCTTGTTTCAGCTAAGTTTCCTCACTCCGCGTTTTCATTCGATGATGCGCATCAGCGTGTATTATATTTATACACAAATTTCGACGCTAATTACATCACAAATGATGGATGCTCTCGCTCTTTCACTCACACACGTTGAGCCAGAAAAGCCTCTTGAAAATTAGATCTTCCACTTGAGCTCGTGCGATGAACATTGACTCCGACTTGCGGCCCTCTTAGTGTTCTTGTTCACCATTTCTTTGGATACGACAATATTTATGATGAATTCTATTCGAAATTCGATTTAAATAATAATTCGCTAATTTTAACCATCCGAAATGTATTCCAAACCATTTTCAACAGTCTGAAGGCAAACCATATACCACAATAATATGGAAATCATAATGGAAAATGAGTTGGTTTTCGACATGCGCCACTATGCACAGACAGTGCGTTTTGAATTTGGCAAAATCGGCTCATTGCCGCCATCATACGTTGACATTCAATCTCACTTTTATTAACAATTCATGTGAATCGCCTGAAAACGTCGACGCATAAATGTCATGCAAATAATGCATGTTCCATGGCGCAATAACGCTTCATATTTCATAGCATTGGAAATGGATCATCCGGCGAGAAAACTGGATCCAGTTCGAATCTTTATAGAACCCACAAAATGGATGCTAGAACATTCAGTGCTATGTATATTTCGAGTGCGAACAATGCGTAAATTATGCAAAATATCGAAAAGTATTGAACGTATCGTAACAAAATATATGGTGTGCAGCAGGTGTTTTATTGGAAACTTTTTGACTTCGTCTCGAAATAAATGCGCGCAATTCGTTTTTCAATTGTAAATTTGCAATTCGATTATTCGTTCTCCGATAATTTATTGTAACATGCGCGACTTTTCGAAAAAAAAAAAACACCATGACTTTTGCCCTAAGGAATTTGCGTTTGTATCGAAGGAGAAGGAATTGTAAAGAATAATCCGTTCGCTGAAGGACACAAAAATAACAAACTAGAAAAATTGAATAAATTCCATCTTCCATCGGAATAAATTTCATGACATCAAATTTGTAGACGAAATGTAAATAAAATTATGCGAAAAATAAAATGTTGTATCACAAAAATATACTTTGTTCGACTCGTGTATACATATATATACACTGTTGCACCACAAAAGGAAATCAGTATCAATTTGTTTACTTCAACAGCCCTTAAGGAATATTTTAGAAGCGGAACGAAGTTTAAAATGAAGTTTTTCACTCGGTTATTGTTCAGCGCTGTTGCATTCAGTGTGTATTTTTCTTGTGTTTAAACTTTTGCCGGATCGGATTCTACTGAAAATTGTTTTCATTTCAGCTTATCGCTTCGACTGCAGCAGTTGCTGCTGCCGCCGTCATCAGCAACAAGTCATTAACGGATCTCCAGAAGCAATTTGCAGATATGAAGTCGCTGTTCATATTGTGTTACACGATTCGTGTATTCAGTTTTTGGACTGGTTTGGCGATAGCATGAAAACGATTTGGTCGGAAGCCGGGAAGGAACATCCTGCCGCTTTGAAGGCTCTTCCCAATTAAGCTGGCGAGAAAGATGATGGTTCTTTCCAGTAATTCGGCTATTGAAAAACGAACGCAACAACAATTCATGAGCAAAGGTTTGATCACATTCTTGGACATACTGAATCTGATTAGCCACTTTGCAACTTTATCGCCAAAGTCTTTGAACACTACGTATTGTCGACCGAATGCACAGCGAAACCAAAGAATTTGAAGAAACCGTAAGGCAATTCGAAAATGACTATAAAAACGAAATATTCAAACATGGTTGATGGGTGTTGTGAAATCTGCTCTTATCGTATTTACAACATTTGCATCGAAACCAGCAGATAATGAAACTGAACGGGACAGAGTTCAAACATCGATAATCGAACCATTATCGGATGCTCTGGACAATGGGGATAAGGGTGAATACTTCACACAATCTTGGAATTAGCATCAAAGACGCATTTTTGACATATGGTGTTAGCGAGGAAAAAGACTAAATTGATCTCTTGAACCTAAACTAAGAAAACATTCAAACACATTTTAATGGCGCTCAATTATATACTTTTGCATCGACTATGGTCGGATTTATGCAAAACATTGACCACTTGATCCAATGTACACTTTTGGAAGCTTGAACTCAAAATACTAATAAATGATTTTGTCAACTCCAAAAACAGATTTTTTTTAAATAGTTCTTTCCTTTAGTTGAATGCTTCGCTCTGACGGTTTTTGTTTGACTTAATGGCTTGTTATTGCAATCAAGTTTGGCATTGATGTGTCACGCCTCCACTTTATTACAATACTCCATCGTTTCACTCAATTCGCTTTATATCATTCGCAGTTTTTTCTGTCTTCTCTCACCGAACTAAAATGTATCACATCGATTGTCTATAAAAATATATGCAACATAAATTTGGCAAACGAGAGTCTGCGATATGATAAACGAGCGCACGGTCATAAATATCATTTCTCGCTCGATTCTATTGCCGGTTTTAAAAGGAACTCGACGCATTGCAGGAAGTGGTGGGTTTCTCAAGCGGCACTCATTCTCTTAACTTTTCAAACAACCGAGTGGATTGTTTCCATATTTTGTTCGTCATTTTAAACGGGGGAAAAAAGGCAAAAGAAAACGAATTCAGTATGCGTTCGCTGCTTCTTGGTTGGTAAGAAGTCGAAAATCCAATTATAGCAATAAATGAATGTAATGAACTCAATTTGCTGGCGATGCGTGAATGTTAAGTGTTGCACGACAACGACCGAGCAAGCGGGAAGATGTCCGCAACAACGACGACTACCTAAGTGTGAGTGGCTTCCTTCATTTCATCGCTTTGCATGCAATCAAAGTTTTCAATCCATAAATTGCACCATCGCAATTTGTTGACAAACTCAATTTCGAATAACAAAGAATGTTCAATAAGTTGGCCGTGAAAGAATTGCATCCACACCGGACATGAAGCACAGTTGGCCGAAGCCGGAGGATGGTAAAATTAATTATTCAATGGATGAAAGAGTAGAGATCGAAAGAAAATAAAAAAGAGGCACGTTGAAAAGGTCGACCTTAACAACATTGAGTTTATGTGCAATAGAAATAGATCAAAGAATCAACTGCTGCTGCGGTTCAGTATAATCGGAATGCCGGCGTCGACGGTAACGACATTTGGCCTTTACCGTTTTGACCTAAATAACTCATCAGTTTTGCGTATTTTTTTGACGGAAAAGAATAAAACCCATTCATTACGCGAACCAACCCAAACTGAATTTATGACAAAAAATATATGATGGCCTTACCTGCGGTAAATTTGCATTAATTTGCCTGTGTAGACTGTCGCGCTCTTTCTCCGTGTCGGTCAGCTTGATTTCAGCATCGTTCAGACGTTCCTGTGCCTCACGCAGGCTATCCATCAATTTGTCACGTTCATCTAACATTGACACCATCAATTGCTCGAAGTTCGCATCGTCACCGCTGAATTGCGATGACCGTTGCGAGATGTTATCCTCCGATATGGTCGGCATCACGTCACACATCATGTTCCACATTTTGATTTAGTTTTTTTTTGTTTATGGCAGCGTTCCCAATATTTTTCACTTAAAAACGAATGAACTTTTTTTTCTCGTTCTTTTCTTTTCTCACGATTCTGTGCCGATTTATTACTTTTATTATTTGTTTGACTGTTGTAATACTTTACTCCTTTTGTTGGCGTCGCTCTGGCCGTTGTTCCGTTTGTCGCACAGCCAAAAAAACACACACATAAGACTTGTTCTTCTCGTTCAATTGCTTGTTATTTGCATCGGTTGATGGTTACAAAATTCGTGTGCTGCATTGTTCATTTGAAAATTACATCGGGATGTACGAAACGTTTGATTATTGGTCCCGTTCTGAGGAAGCATACTTTCATTTGTTTTATTTTTTCAGCAGAGTGAGGTGAACTTTCTTGCTTTTCCTTCTGATTAAACTTTTTCTGTTTTGGTGTACAAACTCTCTGTTTATTATTACGATTTTAGCTGTTGTTATCTTTATTGTGTGCACACTGACTGTTGCAACTCACACGGCTCCCCGAATATGAAGAAACAAAATCGTTCATTCATTCATCAATGACTAATAATGTTACTAACAATCAGTTTCTTCATTAACGAATTACTATATATTTTCACTGTTTTTTTTTCTTCTTTTGGCTCTTATGTATTTCGTATCGTCGTATTTTACTCCTGTTTATCGTGTTTAACGTTTACACAAGACAAGCATTGGGTATTAGACAGGAACACCGAATGAGACTGGCTGACTATGTGTGTGTGTGTACGCGCGCGAATGTATTGGATTTGTAACATTTGTACAAGCGCTTGTCAATTGCCAATTTTTTTTTCCTCAATCTTGAACTGTTTTTTTTTTTCAATCGATTTTTGTGTGTTTATCATCGATTGCCAAGAAAATGATGCACACACACCAAATTTTCTCACTCCACACACGTCAACACACCGAAATTGAACCGATTTTGATTTGTGCCCATTTAAGAGACACTTCGAAAGAAACTCTGTCTCAAACGAAAGAACAACATACGTTTATTTGAGTTTTTGGTAAATTTGTTTCGTTTTTTTTCTCTATTCACACACCAAACACCATTTTACACACATTTCAATTGTTTTGGCCGCAATTAGCATATTCATTAATGGTCACACGGAATAAAAATAAAAGAGCAACGAAAACGATGGTTTTGTCTGAATTTGTTTTTTTTTTGTTCGGCTGGGCATACAAAATGTCATTGGTTTTCCATTTCAATAATACACATACCGCATTGTATTTCTCGTTTATGATTAGCGTTTATTATTGCCATTTTGCCATTGAGCTGATTTTTTCACTGTCACAGCACACGATTTTATCCGAATTTCCGATGCACACGTACGGATTTTTTCACACACACACACGTTCACGGGCGAGAGAGAAAACAGAAACAAATGCGAACAAAATTAATGCGAAAATATGAAAACGAAAAATGATAAAACGAATGTGTTTTTTTGTTAATTTTTCACACAAAAAAAAAAGTTGGTGATTATTTTTTTCTGCTCGAAGAGAAACTCAAATCGTCTACCCTCGCGTACAACTAGAATCACTTGAACACTCTCTGTCAACATACGAACGCGGTACTATACAGACACACTTGAATATTGTGCATCTCTGTCACACTCTCACGACTACAGCAAGCCAACACTTGCGATGTGATACGACTTTTTCCTCTTCTTCTTCTATCGATGTTGAACACAGCAGCCACACACAATATTAACTGTCTTCTTATAAGTATGTGTACTAGATAAAAGAAGAAGAAGAAGAAGAAATCATTCTAAGGGAAAGAAAGATTCTTCGTGTGATGTATTTTTTTTCCTTTTCATTCGTCTATTCTTCGAACTTTGAATATGTTTGCGTGCATGCGTGTGCGTATGTATGTGTGTGTGTGTTTGTGTGCGTATAAGTCTCTCACTCTCTGTACGGCTCTACTATCCACAGGCTGAATTTTGTGTACACTAAATCAATTGACTGATTTGCACTGATATTACTATAAACTCCGTTTTTTTCACTTCTTTTATTTTCAGTCTTTTTTACCCACACATTTGCTGCTCGTTTCTATCGTCATTTTGATTCAAATCCAAATGCGGAGGCAATTTAGTTTTTACATCGAATTGGAATCCGCTTGGATTCTTTTTGAAAAGTGTCGGTCGAAAAATAAAAATCGAAATTGATTTTGCTTTCGCTTTTGAGCCTCTCGTTTTTAGCGTAGCACACAGACACACCTTTGACGGTACAAGCAAGCCGATTCCGCTAGCTCAATGCTTTGTATGTGGATGTGAGCCATACACATACGCAACCAACGAAAATCTACACACAGCCATTGGGTTTAATGAGACAGAACGAATTTCCACTCACCGCCATATTGGTGAGCTGAATACGAGATATCAATTGTCAAACACAAATACACACACATGCGCGCACGTCACCGATACACATACACAGAGAGAGATATACAGAGATACAAACTTCACGCCTGTCAAGTGCATGCATTGTTTATGCTCGTTGCTAGCAACCGTCCGTGTTTTTCAATGTATGCGCTCGACAAAATGTCATTCACGGACAATTTTCTACACAAATTCGCACTTCGAAACAGATGAACGAGTCGAGTATTCGAAATACAACCATATGTTTCTGTCACATCGGTTTGCTCTTTGCGGCGTATCGTCAATGTGAATGAATGCCAATTTCGAACAGCAGACAAATTCGAACAACAGAAAAAAAAAACAAAACGAGAGTGCGATTATACACAACAGCTCTTGACGTTTCCGATCAAAACATCACAAGTCACACAGTATTTCACGCAACAATTCCATTATTTTCGTAATCAAATCCATTTTTTACATTGAAACTGAAGGAGATTATTTGTTGTATCGGCTTTCAAAAAGACTTACTTGGAAGAAACTCAACGAGATTCATTCGATGGGATAAAATATGCAAAGAAAAACCGATTCTTAGTTTTTGAATTGAGAAACACGTCGGAACTGGTCACATTAATGGTTGTACGCAAAAGGAGATACTATTCGATTGGAGTGTTTATGTAAGTTTTTAATCAAGAAAAATCCACTCATTTCAATCAATTTCCCTTTTTGATTGCTGTTTTAACATTATTTCCATTTTCAAGGCCTAAATTTCAATTTTCGTATCGACATTTTTCATTCCACAGCAGGTAGCCGTAGGTTAAGGTTTGACTGAATCGTTTCAGAATATGCCACGAAATCGAAGTGCTTATTACAATTATTCGGGTAAATGTTGATGTAATTTGGAAGACTTTATTGAAATCATCGAATACCATTGAATTCTAACCTTCTTATTAAACAATTCTCCGAATCGATTTTCTTTCTATTTTCCAGACATATCAATCAAAGAATATGCGGATGCCAATAAAAAGTGCGGTCGAATTCGTAAAGGTGTACCAAATGCCATCAAATCTGATGCGGTAAATGGTGATTATGAAGCGCTTGATGAGGATGTGACTACTGCGGCCAAGAAGGTGGCCAAGGTCAAAATCACAAACGCTGACGATGATCACGTGTACAATTTCTTTCCCAACGATATTTGGTTCCTTATTTCGGAACATCTTCAGCCGGAAGATGTAACACGGTTTGCTCTCATTTGCAAGCAAACCTACACCATAACAACAACATTGAAATTTTGGAAGAGTCTCTATCGGCGTTATTACAAGGCAAATATTGAGTTGCCCGTAAGACTTCAGTTGGATTGTATGACACGGCCACGAGGATTTCGTGCATGTGCTATTCGATCGCTGTTCTACACATATCCACCGTATGTGAATCGAGTTCAGCAACAGGACTTTCATTCACTGATCAAGCATTGTGTCGTCCAGTTTTGGTTCCAACAAATTAACGCCGTGAAATTCCAATACTTTTATAAACTTAAGCGCAAATTGTGGCCCGGCTCACGGCCATATGCATCGCAGGAGCTGCAAAGCAAAGATGGCCGGTCAATTAAAGCATTGAGAGACGTTTATTGTAATTCAGAGGAAGGGTGCAGTTTGTTAATGGTGAGAAAAAAAACTTTTTTTTTGTTGAAGAATTACCGAATTTTTTTCGTCATAAAGAAAACAAACCAAATCGTTCTTGCTCATAAAGGAAATTAACAAAATTTTTGATGTCATGATGAAAATTGATAAATTGTTCTCTTGCTTAATTTTAGATCGAATCAACAAAATTCCATCCATTGCCACGATTGGATATGATTGAATCGAATGTCATTCTCTCGTCGATTGTGAACCATTTATCACGATCATGCAGTCATTATCGCCTTGAAATGCAATTTTCCAACATCACCGGAGCAAAAGTCGGTTCGGTCGTTTATGAGCCAGCCTCGTCGATTCGTGTGTACGATTGGTGGATGCCAACATACGCAAAGTATGTGAAACAAGGGCTACAACCATCACTGGAATATGTAAACGATGAAAAGGATCTGAATGACAATACCAACCAACATGGAACGGACGATGATGGATGGGACTATGTGATAAATAATTTTTAGCTGCAAAGAGAAATCAGCGAAATTTATGTTGAGTTATGAGATAATTTATTGAAAAAATTTCAATCGATTTCTTAAAGAATATTCAATTTTCTACTTCTATTGCGTGTAAAAACTTTTTTTTTGAATTCACGCGTACAAAATGTCAAATAAAGAAATGAGGAAAACAAACTTCCAACAAATTATTGAGGGAAAATGTGTTGAAAAAAGATCTTGACAAAAGAAAAAATAAATGTTAAACAAAAGTTAGTACGGGTGTTTCATTTTCTGAATGAGGATCTGCTCCATGAATGGGCTGCTTCGACCAGGACGAGAAACTTGTTTCTTGATTACTCGAGTGTGTCTCTTTCCACTGCTGCCACTTTCGATGGTTTCGGTTTCGATTTCACGGTAATTCAGAATACGTGGCCCGAAATGACCTTGTGATCGATATCCAAATCGACTCGACGAAACGCTTGAAGGCTCAGTGTACTTCGGCTCATCGAACTGCCATTCCTTTCGATCAGCTGAGAATTTGCTTGAATTCCAAGACATTGACGGGGCTACACTACCTTCGCCAGCTCTGATGTCATTGTCAATAGTGTCAAAATCAATCGAGATATCGTCATTGAATGGTGAAGCTGAATGGCGATGTGAGTGTGATGAGCGCTTTGATTTGTGTGACAGCTGCGAAAGGTCGACGAATGAATATTTATCGTTCTTGTCGAATTTGTTCGATGTGTCGTTCTTTTTGGTTTGTTTGTAGGACGTAGAAGGTGCAGCAGTTTCTAAATTGGACATGTCAGTGGGTACGACTTCAAAAATGCTATCATCGAAAGACGAAGATGAATGCCGACGAACTCGTTTTGGCTTCTGTGGTCGCTGTGAAAATTCAATGTGGCCGATTGAACTCGGGGCCAATCCGAAAGATTTGTCATTGCGAGCCTTTGATGTGTGTGCCTTGTCTCTGGAAGCTTGCTTGTGGCTTGACGACAATTTTGCCGGTTGTGAATTTTTACTGTCACTACTTGAATATGGCACCGAAGCCAGGCGGTCATGATCAGATGATCGGTATGCTGTTTCTTTTTTAGATGATGGTTTCGTTGCCAGCTTCGGTTCTACCGCTTCACTTTTGTCATTCTTTGATTTTGGTGGCAAATTTAAGTGACGGATCTTCGAATGGTCTTGGTTTTTTTGCTTCGTCGGCGGCAATGTCGATTGGTGTGTTTCACCTTTCACAATTGATTGCCTTGCTTTGGTTACCAGTTTTTGTTTCGCAGCTTCAATTTTGTCGTTCTTCGCCTTCGGTGACAACTTCTGATTCTTTGCTTGAACAATGTCACCTTTTGACTGCTTCTTCGGTGACAATTTTGGCTCGGTCGGTCGCTGCGTTTTTGTTGTCAACTTTCGTTGCTCATCGATGTCATGGCCACTCTTCAAACTCGGCGCTAAATCAGAGTTGTGAGTGTTTGACTTTCCATCGTCTTTATCTTCAGATCCATGTTGGTTCATCGACAAAGTTCGACTAATCGGCAAACTGATGAAACTCTCAGCTGGCTGAATGCGTCTCTCAATGGTGTGTTGATTAAACAACAGCAAAGCATTCAAATCACTTTGCAAACGCGCTTTCACACTGTCGCTGATAATCGGCTTTTCGACCGCTGGTGGCGCTGTTGGTTGGAGTTGAGCTCTGCTCAAACCTCGGGTATTGATGTATGTTTGTGGCAAAATTGGCCGCTGCTTTTTCACTAGATACCGACTCATGATTTTGTACTTCTGTTTGCTTGTCAACTTCGGACGTTCTTTCAGTTCTTCTGCTTTTTCTTCGGTCTCCATGGCTTTTTTTGACGAGCTCAATTGAATTGAGATATAAATATTTGTCTGAAAATTATTTTTGCTACGAAAAAAAACCTACCGCTCACACAATGAACTTGACACAAGAAACCATGGCACTCGAATGACCCACTGTCAAATTACTGTTGCGGCGATTGTCATTTGCATCGTGTTTCCTTTGTTTTTAGCATTGCATTCGATGTTGAACGTGTCTTGACGTAAACAGATATTGACAACAGTAATGCATTAGCAACATGTAATCATATTTTCGCAAGAGGGATAAAAGAGACAGATTGTTCGCAATGAAAAATAACAACAATTCTGGTTGAAGTTCAATAAGCCATTGTTTAATTTATTGTTTCAACAAATATGTTCATCTGATAATCCAATTCCGACTTGCGGACTTTATTTCTTTATCATTTTATTCGGCACAGAATATCGCTGCATTCATTTATGATCCAAGAATTCAAAAAATTTGCTCTCAATGCAGAAGTAATTTCTCATGTGCATAAAAAATCATTATGAAAAAGTAAGAGATTGTTCTTTTTTGTGATCAAGTCAAAGTTGAACTTAAATTTGATTCAATAGATTTTTTAAAAGCTTCAATCTCAAATTTGGAGCTGAAAACTTGGTCTACCTTCACCATTTTCTCTAGAACCTGCAATTTTTTTTCTTATTTCTTGCGTTCTATGTTTTTGCTTTTCTTTATTCATTTTGTTGTTTCTAATTGCCGATCGATTCATTGAATGCACTTTTGCTGAAGCTCGAAAATGATTTGATGGCATTTGAATGTGTTGTACATCGTTTGGTATCAATCATCGAGTCCTTTTTTTGTAATTCCTTGATAAAACATTTCATTTATTTTTTCAACAAATATTTTCATCAGATTGTCCGATTTTTTTCCTCTATAATTTTGTTTGGCACAGAATAACATTTTATTTTTAAGAATTCAGAAATTCAACCAATTTGCTATCAAAGCAGAAGAAATTCATTTCCTATGAGTACAAAAATACACTATGAAAAATGTAATGAATGTTTTCTTCGTGGTCAAGAAATTGAACTTGAATAATAATATCAATTGTGATTTTTTTCTGAAAGCTGATAGATTGAATTGAAAATTGGAAGCTGAAAACTTATGATCTAATTTCAGAATTTTCTATAAAATGTGTAATTTTTCTCTTATTTCATGTATTACCTTTATCATTTTCCCGTTTCTAAATGACGATCAGTTCGTTGAATGCACTTTCACCAAAGCATAAAAATGATTAGAAGTCATTCTGATGTATTGTGGGTAGTTTTGAATCAAGCATCGAGTTCTTTTCGTGTGAATCGTTGTACTTTTTTTTGCACCAAGTGGTTTTTGTTCGATTTTGAATGTGGTTTGACGTGAACAGATTGACAACAGTAAAGCATAAACCTGTAATCTAATTTTTGCAAGAGCAATGAAAGAGATAGATTGTTTGCAATAAAAGACTTTGGTTGATGTTCGATACGCCATTGTATTTATTCTTTCAACAAATATTTTCTTCTGATTTTTGGACTTTATTTTTACATCATTTTATTCGGCATCGAATATTGCTTTATTTAAAATAATTCAAACAATTTGCTATCAAAGCAGCAGAAATTCATTTTTTATGAGTACAAAAGTACATTATGAAAAATATGATGTATGTTTTCTTCGTGGTGAAGTCGAATTTGAACTTGAATAATATGATATATTGTGATTTTTTTGAACAGATGATTGAATTGAAAATTAGAAGCTGAAAACTTATCTAATTTCACAATTTTCTTTAAAAATTATAGTTTTTATCTTAATTCATGTTTTTTCTTAACTTTTCTCAACTTCTTAACATTTTGTATCTTTATCATTTTTCTAAATGTCGATCGATTCATTAAATGCACTTTCGCTGAAGCTTAAAAATGGTTTGAATACATTCGGATGTGTGGTACGCAGTTTTGAATCAATCACTAAGTCCTTCCACTGTGCATTGTTGATTGTTGAAAAATCGTTGTTCTTTGTTTTCATCTCGTAATCGTTGTTGTTTGATTCCACTGATGTTGATTCGTTGTACTTGTATCGTTCACGGAACAATCGATTCAATGAATGTCGTGCGGCCAAACGTTTTCGTTGCATCACCCTTTCCTTTGTCAGTGATGATATGGCTCTCGTTTTCATTTTCTTCCCTTTGCTTGTTTTGAATGTTGTTTGTATCGACGAATTGGCTGCGATGCGTGTGTTGAATGACCCAAATGTTGTGCACTGTGATGTTGTTCCTTCCTTTGCCTTGTAACTGTCGTCCGAACTAACGGCATCTATAGAATTGATACTCGCTGGTATTGCTCCGATGCGCTTGTTGAATGAACCGAATGTCGATGTTGGTTGTAGTTTGGTTTGTTTCTTCTTTGTGCGGTAGGTGCTGTGCGAACTAACGGTAGAATTTTGGTGTGACATATTTACGATCGGTCGTTTTGTTCCAAACAAACGTTCATAGGCACGTCGGGCGCCAAACTGTTTTCGTTTGATCACCATTTCCATCGTCAACTTCGGCAAGTCCATCAAATCTGATTTGTTAATGTTTGGATTGAATGTTGATGGAATTGCAGCCGAAGTGAAATTAAACGTTGGCTGAATTGAGTCTGGAGTGGAGGCGAACTGATTTAGTGTTGTAATGGTGAAATGATCTGATCGACTTTCTTCGGTCGGTTCGAATGATTTTAGTGATACAAATGATGGATGCTCTGTCGATGATATTGATTTCGAGATATCTGGTGTATCCAATGACCAGCCTGATTCACACGTTTTGCTCGAGACGTTTTTCTTGTTTGATGTTTCCGAAAAATTGTACTGAACGCTGGTGAAATCAAATGGTGACATCGTATCCGGGCCGGCTCTGAATTGATTTTTTCCTGCTGTAAAACCAATCAAACCATTGAAGTTATTGAAGATGTTCGAACTTGTTGTATCATTGATGTCTTGTTGCAAATCGGGCACAATCACCGAATCGAATGATAGCATTTTGTGTGGTGTTCCGTTTTTCGAAGGTGTTTCGTAGCCAGCCTGGCTGAATGCGTTAAAATCCGGTGGAATTGGATGTTCTGTTGGTGTTACTTCGGTGTGATTCAAAGATGTTGGATTGTTTACACCGGCAAAACTTGGTTGGTGGCGTTGATTCGTGTTCTTTGATAAGAAATTAGTCGCTTGATTTTGGTTGTGATTTATCTTTGGTTGAATCAAGCAATTATTGTTGTTTACCTTTGATTCCTCATTCTTTGCTGTGTTGTTGTTTTTCGGTGCATTCTGGATTGTTTTTCGATCTTGCTCTGGCTGTGGCTCTGGTTTCTTCGTTGGTTGCTCAAAAGCATCGTTCTTTCCTTGTTGTATGTTTGATGTTATCTCTTCCTCTCCCTCTCCCTCTCCCTTTTTGACTTTTGACACTGATGTTTTCTTCTTTGCTTTGCTTTGTTTCGTTGAGTAAAGCTCCTTTGTGTGTCCAATTGGAATCACGACAATACCATCTTCATCACCTTCCGATTCACCGTTGAATAACACCTTGAAACTAAGTGCTCTGGACAAAATTCCAAAATTTTTCGCCGGTACCGGTCCTTTGTCTTTCTTCTTCGCACAGCGATAGCGACCATTATTCAGTAATCCGCAAATGTCTTTATTCGCAAGAAATCGCCTTTTCGCTGCTGCGTGCACTCGCAAGTAATTCATTGTCAATTTCACATGGAATCAAATTTTTGTTCAAATCATTTTTTTCCAATGCCATGAAAGTGTGTTATTTACAATATCTCAACTTTATTCGAAAACTGTGTTCTTCACTAACGTTATGTTTATGTATAGATTTTCTGTTCAACAATCGACGAAAAACTGCGTTGTGTTTATCCCAATGCGACTGACACGGCTTGATGCAAAACTCTTATTGACTTGCACATTGCACACAATAACAGTTCATTGAATGCGAGGTTCGTATTTGCGCTCACCGTGTGAACAGTACTCAACCGAGTCAAGTGACAGTTGGTGCGCGAACAGTATGGCAACACTGACACCAAATGTCAAACGAGAAAAAGAATTAGAAAAAACCTAACCACGAGCGCCGTTTGTCATAAATATAAGTGCACATACACAATACAGACATCGGTGCGGCTACAAGTCAATTTGTGTGCGGCTTTTTTTTCTCTCTTTACCATTTAATGGAATTGAGACAGTTGTGAATAATTGAGTGGCAGTCGATTGCAAGAACGGAAACGTAGTTGAAACGAATTGAGGAGGCCTTTGTAATCAATAAGAACTGTGTTATTTTCCGACCGAAAAACCAAATTCCAATCGAAAGTGCAAAAGAAAAAGAAAAGTAGTGAATCATAGCGTACGAAAAGTCAAGTAGTGGGAGAAAAAAAAAGAAGAAGAAGAAGAAGAAGAAAAAAATGGGACAAAAAGTGTCGCGTACAGATTTTGAATGGGTTTACACGGAAGAGCCGCATGCATCACGTCGCAAAATAATTCTGGAAAAGTATCCGCAAATCAAAAAACTCTTTGGCTATGATCCGAATTTTAAATATGTGGCGAGCGCAATGGTGCTGGTGCAGTTTGCAATGTTTTTTGTTATGAAAGGTCAATCGTGGCCGGTAACATTGCTTGTTGCATATTGTTTTGGTGGTGTCATCAATCATTCACTGGCGCTGGCAATTCATGAAATCGCACACAATTTAGCATTCGGACATGCTCGTCCGATGGCCAATCGAATGTTTGGTTTCTTCTGTAATTTACCGTTGGGCGTGCCTATGTCGGTGTCATTCAAGAAATACCATTTGGTACGTTTTTAAACTAATTTCGTTCCTAAATGGGGTTCTTTATTACCAGTTTCCTGTGCATTTCAGGAACATCATCGATACCAGGGTGACGAAGTCATTGACACCGATCTGCCCACACTGCTCGAAGCCAAGCTGTTCAATACGACATTCGGAAAATTGTGCTGGGTGTGTTTGCAACCATTTTTCTACATTATTCGACCGTTGATTGTGAATCCAAAGCCACCGACACGTTTGGAATTGATAAACACCGTCATTCAAATCATATTCGATGCAATTGTTGTTCACTTCTTTGGCTGGAGTGTGCTGTGGTACATGATCATTGGCACACTGTTGGCAATGGGTTTGCATCCAGTGGCCGGTCACTTCATTTCCGAGCATTATATGTTCAAAAAAGGCTACGAAACCTATTCATACTATGGACCATTGAATTTTATCACATTCAACGTTGGCTACCACAATGAACATCATGATTTTCCAGCCGTACCCGGCAGCCGTCTGCCCGAAGTCAAACGTATTGCAGGCGAATTTTACGATAATATGCCACAACACAACAGTTGGACTCGCGTTCTATACGATTTCATCACAGATCCCGATGTTGGACCATATGCCCGCATTAAGCGCAAACAACGAGGCCTTGACTCATAGATATAGTGCACACAAAGGAAAAAAGTTAACTAATATCAGTGTAAATTAAAACTAATAAAGATGCAACATATTTTCTACATTGTAAATTGAACGTAACTAAAAGAAAAACAAATATCGGTTTCAACGTACCATATACAAAGATTATAAAGATATATCAACACTTTTTTCCCTCTGCTAAACTTATGAAGCAATCGAAATTAAATTTAGATAGATTAATTGAAATGAGTAAATATTTGTTTGAAACCGATGAAAATAAAAATCGATTAAGACAAAGAGCACGCGAAACAAATCTAAAAAAAACTAATATAAACGGGTAAAATGCAGTCAAGTAGCAGCAGAAGGCTTTAAAATAACAACAAAAATGTTTAAAAAAAAGTTCTACGGAATGAAAAAAAAAAGAAAAGAAAAAATCAAAAAAGAACAACCTATTTTTGCAGTGTAAAATACCAAATGTAAATAGACTCCGTTCAATATTTAAGCATTAAGAAGTTAATTGCATGGGAGAACAAAATAAAATCAAAAACTAGAGAATATTTATTGTTCAGCAACACTTGAAAGAATTATTTAAAAGAAAAACAAATTGTTTTTGTGAAACAACAACACAATATTTTGATTGTACGTGAATTTTTTTTAGCTTCTATTTATTAATCAAAACAAAAAGAAGAATGTTCATAAAAATGAAAACAACAAAAATTGCCGCCTTTAGCTAAGCTAGATCAAATTAAAATAAAGCAAAATGAATATTTTTTATTAAACCAAAATGAAACCAAAATGAAACCAACGAATAGCCTGAATAAACAAATGCACTTTAATAACAACAACAACAACAAAAGAGAGACCAAAACAAACTTTATGAATAAAATCGGCTAAAATATTCATCCATAATGCAATTGAGCGTGTGTATATGTGAATTCCTTTCATTCCGTGTTATTATTTTTCAGGTTTTTTTTTATTATTCATCTGCCACTGGTTAAATTTATTGTTGTATATGACGCGTCTAATCGATTGTGTTCGTATTCCACTATCATGAAAATCGATACATTTTCCCTCCCTCTGGCAAATAATATAGCAAAGCCTTATTATCGACATTAGACTCTTTCCGATTGCATTCAAATATAAATTTCAAACACCACATACACTGTGGCACCATACACATCAAATGCGGGCCTTTGCGATAGCATGTGAAATGTCAACCATAGACACAAAATACACATTTTTCGCTGCTGTTCATTTTTTTTCCACCGTTGTTAATCATCAATAAAATTGTAGCGAGATTTTAATCGGCATGTGTTTTTTGTTGGTCAAAGTACGCACATTACAAATATTTGTCAGCCGCCGTTACTGTATACTATACACAGCATGTTTTTATGGTGATTGACCACGTATCTTTACGTACACATGTTCATGTGTGCACTTGGGACTACGGCGATATGTCACACATAGACACAGAGGTAAGGAATAGAAACGTTTGAAACGCTAGAAACAACGATTTAGGCCTCGTTCCATGTTTAGTCAGAAATTGTTGTTTGTTCATTTTCTGATTTTCTGCTTTGTTTGTGCACCAAAGGTGCGATAAGATACAGTCAAATATACACAAGCGCGGTTCCGTGTATTTCAAAGTGTTCTAGATTAAAATATACTTCAATGTGTTCTAAACGAGCTCTTACTGTGCAAGAATACACATTTGCTGCCTATTTTCATACATGTCCAGGTCCACTGACATTTTACGGATGTGATTGTAAATTAAATTGCCATTTTATCGACTTAGCCATTGGAACCGACTGAATTTGTTGGTGACTCAGTTTTTATTGATTTCACAATCAGCACAATAATAACGAGCGACGGCAAACTCAAAGTTATAATGAAAAGTAATTTCTTTTCAAACAATGGACACGAAAATTACAGTATAATTGATAAATCAAGATTAATGCCGGCTTTTTCCATCGCTTGACTATACAACGCACGAATGTGAATTCGATCATGAGCTCATGGAATTTGCTGATAGCTATATTGTTTTCATTACACCAATAGCGTGAATTGGTTCGTCATAAATTATGTATATGAGTAGTTTGGAGCGAAAATGTAATGTCGATGATGAATGAGTGGAAAAGGGATAGCTATATATTATACAATATAGTAAACTATAGTGAACTATATAGCTATCTCTTTTCATTTGCCATTTTTTCGCGCAACTTTTCTGTATTACATTTTCGCTCCAAACGACTCATATATGTATTTGCCTTGATTCTATATCCACTGCTGTCATATTGAACTTGTATGTTTGCCGGCATAATGCGCAATTGCGCCTACTGTATTTATACGCATCATGTGCTCTTGCTTCAACTGATACTGCCATTGCTCTAGTAAAGCAATGTTCTATACCAACTCAAAATTTGACTAAGAGACAAGGTGAAATGAGTAATTCCGTAGGCATTCATTCACATTTTACATAAATTATAAAATGATTTGATATGTCGGCCATTCCACACGAAATCAGGGAAGAGTTGCAATGTGAGGTCGCCGAATTGGCTGAAAATCGGCTTGGAGTCTTGTTTTCGATAGAAAAAGAGAAAACCAAAATCTCAGGCCTAAAAGTGGCCCGCCTTTCTGAGTTAACCCAGTGTGAATTTTGCAAAAAATTGAAAAAATCGAAAAAAAGGGTTTGCGGTAACTAAAATCCAACTGTGAAGTAGTTGACACATTGCCAAACCTATGGCCCCATTGGAACCTCCAAAAATGGGTTCAAAGTATAAAATGTTAAATATCTCAAAATAGTGGCGTTTTTTCGGCATGTTTTTTTGCGTCAGAAGATAGCCCATGTTACGCCGCTTCAGATGGGAAAATAAATTTTCGTGGAACAACCATTCAATTTTTTGTATTTGGCCTCGGCAGGTGAATCATATGTCATTTTTCAGCGTTTTTGTGGGAAAAATGGTTAAAAATGGCCTCTTA